TTTTTTTTTTCTCATAGTTTCCAATAAATCGGACAAATGTCAATGTTGACAGAATTTTTTTCTCTCTGGTTTTTCAGTGAGTATGTGATGGTGACACTTTAAATGTATTGGTATTGATGTAAATGGTATTGTTAAAAAAATTCTAGGAACATTCACTGATTGTTTTAATTTCCTAGGAGCGGGAACAGAATCACATTTGTTTTATAATTTTCATGAAGGGAACATTAAACAGAAAACATTGTGGTAACCTTCCTATAATGTTCAGTTAACCTTGGGAACGTCAGGAAAACTTGCTGTTTATAATTGTGTTTAAAACATTCAAACATTTTGGCAACCGTCCTATAATATTCAACTTACTTTCCCAGAACATTCTGGGAACATCAAAATAACCTTCTGGTTATGTTAGGAAAACTTGCTGTTTTAACTTGGAAGGAACGTTTGAGGGAGAACATTCTGGTAACTTTCTTAAAACATTAAATTAACCTTACCAAAACATTCTGGCAACATCAAAATATCCTTCTGGTAACGTCAGGAAAACTTGCCGTTTTAACTTGGAAGGAACGTTTGAGGGGAGACATTTTGGTAACCTTCTTACAACGTTCAATTAACCTTCCAAGAATGGTTAGGGAACATCAAAATAACCTTCTGGTTACGTCAGGAAAACTTGCCGTTTTAACTTGGAAGGAACGTTTGAGGGTAGACGTTTTGGTAACCTTCTTATAACGCTCAATTAACCTTCCAAGAACGTTGTGGGAACATCTAAATAACCTTCTGGTTACGTCAGGAAAACTTGCCGTTTATACCAGTATATTACGTTGTGTTGCAACGTTCAAAAAACGTTCCTACAACTTAAAACAAACGTTCCCAGAATGTTGGGGAACCAAAATTTGTTAGCTGCAGAGGAATATGAATTATTATGGATGACACTTAACCACCTCTCTTTTCTACTCTTCTCCTTTTCCTCTGCAGAGCACTCCCGTCTGAGGAACGTCACAGTGGTGGTTGGCTCTGACATGGTGCTGCCTTGCCAGCTGGTCTCCAATCTTGCTCAGCCCTGCTGGGTTCTTAACGAACGTGAGCTCCAGCTGGGTGACCCAGAGGCAGGAGGGCCCCGCTTCGACCGGACCCTCAAGGCCCTTGTCGTCCCTGAGGCAGGCCAGATGCAAGCAGGCCGCTATATCTGCTACTCTGAGGAGCAGGGCGTCAAGTTTCAGACAGAGCGCTACCAGGTGGCCGTAGTAGCCAGCGCCCCAGTCTTTATGGAGGCCCGGGCTCCAGACAGCAGCATGGGGCTCTTCTGGGTGCTCGTCATCACCCTTGGAGCAGCATGCCTGTTGCTCCTTGTAGCAGCTCTTTACTTGCGCAGGAGGCTGAAGCTGGCGCTGGGAAAGGGAGCCGACATGAAGCCTCTTGAAAGCACCTTGGTCTACCCCATCACCCTGCCCAAGGAGCCACCCACTTTTGTGCCCAGCAAGATGCCCAGCGATGAGGATCGTTTCTGGGAGACAGGCGCCAACTACTACTACTCGGATGGCTCGCTGAAAATCGTTCCCGGTCACGCCCTGGGGCCCAGCAGCGTCAGCAGCACGGCGTCACCCAGCGCCATTCCCGGCCAGCCCATCCACTCCCCAAGCCGTCTCAGCCTCACCAATATTCGAGGCTCGGGTAGCAACGGCTATATCCGCCTCAACCTGAGCACAGCAGGGGAGGAGAGGGCTAGCGGGGCTGGTGCTGGGGGCGGCGGGTTGGGAGGCCTGGGCATGAGCGGGAACGACTACTCAAGCCCCTTCAAGGAAGAGCTGAGACGCACTCTGCAGCAGAGAAGCGTGCTGCCCGATGCCAACCCCGAGGAGTCGTCCGTCTAGGCCTGTCCTCCTCTGTCTCCGTTCCCTGAGTTGGAAAAAACAAAAACAACCAACCTACCTCCCTCCTTTTGAGGATGCCTGCTCTCTCTCTCTCTTTAAGTGACACGCTGTCAATTCCCCATGCTCTCTCTCTCTCTCGCTCTGCCAATGCCTGTTTGGCTCACTGTTGACATTTATAGCACACAGCATGTTAAATATACACACTCATACACTGTGTTCGCCAACATGCACTCGTATAATTACTATGTTCTGGGCAACATGCAGTCATGGTTGTGGCTTTTTTCTGCTTCCACTGTGCAATCGCCATTTGTGTAAATTGTGTATTTAAAAAGGCTGAACGCAGAGAAGAACACCTCAAGCATGGAAATCAAACAAATGGCGTTACACGTTCTCTGAAGGGCACATTTCTTTTAACGTTGAGTGGACCAAGAGGCTTTTAGCCCTTGTGCTGAAACAAGCTGACGAACGGGCAAGCGCAACTGACTGGAAATATTGAACTGATACTCTGTCCTTCTGTTCCTCTGAGACTTTTTCAGCTTGCTGCACTTAAAAAGTGGAAGCCCGTCTTCCCTTTTTTGTATTTGTGAGCCAAGAGCATGAGAGCGGTATAAAAAGACTAATTAATCTCGAAGCAAGACGACAATCACGTCCCCGTAGCAGGAGCTCTGCGAGGGACGAAGAGGAGAGGAGAGAGAGCGAGAGACAAAGAGAGAGGAAATTAAATGGAAAATGAAGTGAATTGGAGTGAAAGACGCAAGGGGGAGTTTTGAATGAAGGACAATCTCTCAAGACTTTCTCTGCTCGATTTGTATTTTTTCTTTTCTCCCACGTTGTATTTACCCCCAGAGAAAGTCCTTGATCCCTTCCAATTTCATTTGTTGTGATGGTTGGTTTGAATTAAGACATTTCTTGTTGTTCTTTTTCTACGTCTTACTGACTACAGCAGTGTTCGTTATCAAGTGACTCCCCTCTGTGAATGACAATGTGAGGGTAAGCGCTTACATTCCTCGCTCAGCCCTGCAAGGTGACCTTCAAACACACCTTCAAGTCCAATATACTACAAGTGCACTCCAGACGACATTTATTAGAGTCAAAGTGTGTAACAGATATGTGTTTTGGCTGAGCCCTTTTGGACGTTTGTTCATCGCTGCAGAAAGAAAAAGGCTATTTGCATTCAGCTCTTAGCAGCGGAACAATAACTGCACACTTAATTCCAAATTGAAGCTGACGTGAAGACATTAGGCATGGAGAATGTAGTTGAACCCTCACTGTTGCGACCGCTGGATGTCTCAATAAGTGCTTTATATCTTATGTGTATGGCGAGGGTGGGAACTTGCACTGCCAAGAAGGAAACTACCCTCTCCCACACAAACACACACTTACTCACAGTCCTCTGAATGCCAACCATCCTGGACCATAGTGTGTTTGTGACACCCTTAAACCCCAACAAACCCCTCCCTCTTACCGATGCCCAGAGACTGACCCGGGGCTACTGTGGACTTATACAGAGGAAGAGCACTGTAAAACACAACAACACAAAAAGATGACACACACAGTGTTGATGGAAGATTGGACAGACAGACTGATTGCTGCCGTGCTGACAAACTGCTGGCTCCATCAGTGAAAGTAAATCAGTGAAAGGTATTGTTCCACTTAATTAAATTCATGCAAACAGATTCAAGCAAAGTCCCAACCTTTAATGATTTCCAATTTAGCTTTTTGGCTGCTCAGTGTAGTGTTAAGAATTATTTAGTTTATTTATCTGGCTGTCCCTTTGCTAGACTTATCACTAAAGGAAATGCGCTTATTTGCTTTCTTACTAAGGATTAGGTTAGAAGATCGATACCACTCTCATATTTGTCTGTTAAGTATGAAGCTACAGCCAGGAGACAGTTAGCTAAACTAGCATAGAAACTGAAAGCAGGCAAAAGAGTGAGCCTGGCTCTTTCCAAAGGTCTGGAAGCTCACTAAATAACCTGCTACATCTTGTTTGTATATCTAAAAACAAAGTTGTGAACCCCATAAAGTCACTACCCTTGGCCAAGAAGTTGTCTGGCATATCGACCCCACGTCAAACTGCATTTTACACTTTAGTTTCTGTACAGATTAATCAAAGGAGATATAACGTGTTAATTATGCCTCATTACCACTGCATGGTTCTGCTGACCTGTGATATCAGGTGCTTTCCTCAATTGTGTTTTCCACTGCAGGCAATATCCAATTTAGGCAGGATTCTTAACCGATTGTCATAGCAACATTGCAGAAATTGCCATGACATCATCCTCGGCTCCATACATTCTGTGTTGCTCCATCCAGCTCTCACTGGATCCTTTTATCTGCAACCAAACAGAGGTTTTTGCCATTTTTAAATATTTGGTTTGAGTAAATGAAAAAACAAATTTGCTGTTCCTTGTTTTACTAGTGACGATTCTCTGTGACCAATCAGTGGTCTCCAGAGTGTTAATTCCACCTTCCGGTATCACCTCAGCTCACTTGAGCCATGTTTCCACTGAACACTTTCAGTATAGTACGCTTAACATGTGCGTAACTTGTACCAACCTGTACCTAAACCCTAGATCTGTTTTGCGTTTCCACCACAGACAATACTCTTAAATATAGGCGGGGTTGTTAAGGGAAAGTAATAGCCCGTCACTGCTCTGTACAGCTCTTGCTGTATTTCCTCTTCACAAACGATCCAAGGGAACGTCTACACTTCGCTGACTGTCCGTGCCGGAAACGAAAATGATAAACAGGCGGCCGTGTTAAGTCTGTCACAATTGACCAAGCAACAGACCACAGTGTTTCTGGCTCCAACTTTTTATTATCTGATCAGTGTGTAGTACCTCGGCAGAGGGGCGATGGAAAAAACGGGACCAAATGGAGTATTTCTATTGATACCAAACACAACTTTTGACATTGAAAATGCAAAAATAATTCTTCTAATGTTTAATCTTACTGAACTAAACTGAATCGGACTGATTGGTGGAAATGAGGCTTTGGGACCTCAATTGAGGTGGTACCAGAAAAAGTATTAGGTACTATCCACAACTGTTGCCAATGGAAGACCAAAAAAAGAGCAAGTCAGGAATAACCAAACTGTACCATGCAGGGGAATGAAGCTTTAGTGACTTTAAGATATGCTAGCAGGTGGATTTTTTTCACTACCGCACAAAATCAGGCTAGTTGATTGCCCCTGTTGTCAGTCTTTGTGCTTAGCTACGCTTACTGGCCCCAGATGTAGCGGACAGGCATGCAAGTGGTATCAATCTTCTCATCTACCTCTCAGCAAGAAAACAAAAATGTGTTGCCCAAAAATTTCTCAAAATATCAAACGTTTAAATGATGAGACAATACAAACTACCATTGTTTGATCCGTGCCTCTATTGTTTAAGGTAACACCACGTGTTACCTTGAAAGAGTGCTTGCAGAGAGTAGCATTATCCACAGTTAGAAGACTGATCTTGTTCTAATAATATAAAGTGGCATTATTACACTATATTGCCTATAGACTTAAAAAATGAAATGCCATAAGAGAGCTACCAGAGCTATTTCGAAACAGAATGTATTCATTAAGTTCAGTACAGTAACATCAGCGTTAACATTTAGCTCAAAGCACTGCTGTGCTGAAGTACAGCCTCACAGAGCTGCTAGCATGACTGTAGCCTCCCAGTTATATTACATCATATGTTCTGCACCATTTGACCAGTCTACTTTTCATCAGAGGCTGTCCTTGTGCACACTTTTATTGAGGTCTTGAGGGGACAGGTGCATCAGGAAAGCTACTTTCATGGAAAATGATAAGAAAAGGAGCCAGACTGCCCGAAGCCTGAAGCTTGCGACTAGAAGATTTTATAAACGAGAAAAAGTTTCAGTCTGACAAGGATCAAAAGAAGTTGACCTTAGGAAGACCTTTGTGGGACTGAAATTGTCTGTTTAATAACAGTGTTCTACTTGCAAGATTCAGACAGTACGGGACCTTTTCATAAAAATCTCAGACTCAAACTGACAGATGACAAAATATTATTAGTTTCACAGTTGCTGCAAATTCTCATATACCCTCAGATATTATTTTTATAAGTCACCTTCACTGATTCGGTATGGTGTAATGAAGTGGTAGCATGAAGTACCAGACTAAATCGTCTAATCCTCCAACAGGCCAGTCTGACCAGAGTGTGCTTTGTTCCATGGTGATGTAACACTGTCCTAAAAAATATAACCTACTTTCTGATCTAATTTCAAGGAACTTTGAAAAACAGCAAACACCACATCTGTTTGTTGTTACTAACTTTATGTTATTTTGTCCTCTCTCTGTGCTTTGTCCACCAGGGTTGGCTTTTGTTTTCGGGACGTGTCTGTCGGGACCGGAGGAGCACAGCGAGAAGGAAGGGGAGGACAAAGACACCTTGTTTTGCCCCCACTGTGTACAGAGCGCTGAGAGAGATGTAGAATATCAAAATGATCCTGAGGTTGAAGAGGTACTCAGCCATCAGCACTCCATCCTAGTGTTGCATGATCCTCTGCAAGTGGACTGAACATCTTTGATATGATTCATCCTTGTACAAGTGCATCATTTTCAACGGTCATTTTTGGACTTTTACGGACACTAATATTGTGGAACAACAATGCTCTCTTTAGAAAAAAAAAGAAAGAAAACAAAATATGTATGATTTTATGGTTCAAGGGTTGTACAGGAATTCATGGCTGCATTTCAACATGTTTACTTTTTCTGTGCCTCTTCACCTTTTTGGATAAGCCAAAGTAGACTGCAGTTGCTTTTGTTCTTGTTGAAATACTTAAATTAATTTTATTTGATTCCAGATCGATATTTAAGTCTCAGCAGTCCGTCCACTTTGCTACACTGAGCTGATGTCTGCAACCTTTCTGCATATTTTATCCACAGCTAAATTTCCCCTCGAGCAAAAGGGCTTGAGGCTGATGGACTTCCTGTTTGCTTCCTGTTTATATGTCAGTAGTGATCTGCTGGACCCAGTTCTTTATCCCCTCGCCGAATGAAAGGCTGAGTAACGTACCAAACCATTATTTAATTTGTCAGCCCCTTAAAACCAAATAAGTATCTGTGATTGAAAGCAGATCAGTGACAGAATGTGCCCACTTTATATTACTACATCCCCTGAAGCGGATACCTAAAACATGAGCTCTTTACACTGGTACTTGGTTATGTCTTAATATATTTCTAATTTTACAATTAGGCATTTTATTTAACACGTTGCAACGACTAAAAAGATTAAAAGAATAAAGGTCAAGCTTGAAAAAAAAAATGCATGTGTAACGTACTTCGGTTCTTCTGACACATTTGTTTGCTCATAATATTTTCTCTCACACAAGGCTTTAAGTTCTGCTGTTTTCTCGCATTATTATTTGTATTGTTCTATTATCACCCTGAGTTTATTTGGCCCCATTTTGGCTTGTCTGTAATTGATCTTTTATGTTTGTTTTTAAAATATGTTAAGTAACTTATTTCACTTGTACAAACGTGTTGATATTTATTATCATTGTACATATGTCCTTATTTTTTATATGTGTACATATACACAAATAAAAATAGAGATATACTCGAGGTGTGTGATTGTGTTTCTTTAAGAGGAACTCCTCCGATTGTACACTTAAAGGTCAGTTTACTAGAAAGGACTACTCAGCCTGTGAAAACAGATGTATGATGTTTTAAGGGGTTCTGGAGAAGCTTCTCAGTCTGACGCAGAGTTATTATAGTTTATAGTGTTCTCCCAGTGTCAGCGTGGGTTCTCTCCGGGTACTCCGGCTTCCTCCCACAGTCCAAAGACATGCAGGTTAATTGGTGACTCTAAATTGTCTGTAGGTGTGAATGTGAGTGTGAATGGTTGTCTCTCTATGTGTCAGCCCTGTGATAGTCTGGCGACCTATTCAGGGTGTACCCTGCCTCTCGCCCAATGTCAGCTGGGATAGGCTCCAGCCCCCCCGCGACCCTCAAGAGGATGAAGCGGTTAGAAGATGGATGGATGGATGAATTCAGCTTAGTTTTTTTTTAGTTATAGTTTAGTTTTTAGACTATTTTATAGTATTTATTTATGTGGGGTAGCTGTAAGGGGAAAGATTGAAGAAGTTAAGAATGAGCATTGCAATAGAAACAACACTTTTTGAAGGTTACTGACTCACTCAAGTAGATATCTTAGTCTCAATAAACATGCACTAATGCCTCCTTGTGAAAGACATTTTTTTTATATTCTTATTTTCTTTTAGTTTGGTAGGTACACAATTATTATTATTAATTTTATTTATTTATTTACACGGGGGTGAAGGGGTGTTTCGTTTTTTGTTTGTTCTTTACTCAAATGTTTTTTTTTCCACTTTTTTTTTGTTCAGTTTTAGTTTATTATATTAACCTTTCATCTGGCCATGAGCACAGTGACATTCTTGTAATTAAAGATTCCAGTTAACAATGAAATACAACATAAAAAGTAAATTGATTGAATATATATTTTTCTAAATCAATCACATAAAAGTAATAAATAAGCAATATTGGTAAAGTCAATATATCATAATCAGAGGCTACAGGAAATAATTCTTTAAAATGTCACAATGTGCGTTCACGTTTTTTTGTTTGTCATAAGGGTTCATGTGTTTATGAGCAAATTAAATTTAAACAGAAAAATATTACACTTTGGGAAGAACTAAGTGAATCTTGCCTTATTTATGTGAAATTTGCCAATTACGAGTACAAAATTTGTCATGTCAATCAGACGCTTATTATTACATTAAAATTTAGTGATAATATCTTTAGGCATAGTTGTTAGAGAACGACCAGGCATGTTACATACAGACTACATCTCTCCAAAACACAAATGAGAAAGGACAGTGACAAATAAATGCATGACTGTTTTGGCCTCAACTTTACAAAGTGTGCATTTAACATCTGTGTCAATAAATTGGAAATTCACAGGTAAATGTTACTTAAGCTTTCTAAGTGAATTGGTCTTGTTTGAAACACAGAACTGGAAGGGGCATAAGATGCTGTGCACCAGTTTATATTATTTAATTATTATTATTATTGTTGAATTCCTTTGGGTGAAATTTTATAGTCCTTGAGTAATTTCCTTATATTTTTATTTGCAGTTAACTATAATAACCTTGGTCTGAGGGAATAACTCTGATGATGTCATAGTGATGCGATCAGTTAGCTCAGCCTGGGTTTGGAGATGACAAGTTTATAAGAGAAGGCTTCCATCACAAACGGGCCAGGGAGTGGGTGTTTATCAAGGAAGCAGTTGGGTTGCATTATGGGTAATGCAGCTCAGTGTTCAGCTTCACTCATAGAAAAGGCAGGATATCTCGGTATCTGCTGCTTCGATATTGAGCACCCATTTATAAATCTGTCTCTTTTGATTCCCCAAACTTTACAGAAGAGCAACACTAAATCACTGAAGTGCTCCTTCAACACACATTTAGGGAGCAACATTAAGGTAAATATTGTTTATGTATTGTAAGTGATTTAAACCAATGATTCCCAAACAGTGGTACTTTGTAACTCCTCATGCGGTACTTACGCAGCAGTTATGTTTGGGACCAAAAATATGTGCATATTTGTGTTAAGGAGGGAAATAAACTGGTGGGAGGTTGATCTTTAGTTACTTTCATAAAAACCAATAAACAACCACTTATGGTAGGCTGACGCCATAAGAGGCTCCCAAGCAAAGAAGTGGAAACAAATTGTTAACAGTGGCCCAGGCTGCTTCCATGGATGGATTATGAGACAATAGGCCCCTGGGCAGATTCACAAAAGGTCCCTTCACCTTTCTAAATCAGGAGCAAGACACATTTTGTGGTGCTTTCCTCTTTTCTGTTTGTTTGTTTTGCATCTCTTTGTAGTTGCTATGCATCCTTTTATGGTTTTGTGTCTCTTTGAAGTTATTTTGTTTCTCTTTGAGGTAGTTTTGTGTCTCTTTTGGTTGTTTTATGTCTATTTGTAGTTCCTTTGTATGTCCTTGTTGTCATTTTCTGTCTCTTTGTTGTCTTTTATTTGGCTCTTTTTTGTCACTTTGTAGTCATTTTGTGCCTCTTCATAGTTCCTTTGCATCTCTTTGTGGTCATTTTGTGTCTCTTTTAGGTCGCTACGTATTGATTTGATTGACATTTTGCAGGTGGGCCCAGTAGGCCCCTTCAGTAATCCATCAATGGGTGCTTCTGCCACTCACAGTGGTGAAAGTAAAATACTATTAATAGAAAAACAAGACCAAACAATTCCTCACAATCCGTTATGTTACATGAAAAATATTGTAATAATATCCACTTTCATAATCAAACCTGAAATCAGTTCATACTAGCACATTTGGAGCAAGACAAGTGATGTCGCTGAAGGGGTACTTGAGCTCATTACAAGGAAAGATTACAAAAAAAATTACAAGTAAGAATTATCCAGAATAATTTAAAATATATTTCCTGTAATAAAATTAAGGCCTTGATGCATATTAAAAAATATGCACCGTAAAGAAAGTTTAGACAGCCTGTATAGAAACATAATAGGTCACAACCCAAAATTTTAGAATTAGAGGATGATTAGAAAATATATAAGTGGATTCTAATGAAACTTGTAGTGAAGTCTCTTGGTTTCCAAACCTTCATGTATCACTGTGTTGGTTATTCTATTCTCTAAAAATAAGATTTCCAGTTTTTCATATTGTAAACATCTCATTTTGGTCAGGAACTCATGCACACACAGGCTTGTTTCACCTGTGAATGTCTCGAACTGTTTCATATTCTCAGCCTGTGCTGCAAGAGGACCTCATCAAACTTCCATCGACTTGCACAGCCTTGCCTGGTGTCAACAGAAGAAGCCACATGCTTCATGTGGTCGACAGTCCCAGCTGTGGAAAGAGGCTCACAGTTGCATCTGATCTCAGTGTACTCAGCTGTGCCACAGACTCTGAAGCCTCACAAAAGACTATGTGTGTTTGTCATCGGTATGTGTGGTGGGTAGGCTTTACTGAGCTTTTCAAGACTAGACCACACTTCACCCACCTGTTTGGGCTTATTGATTTTTTAATATGCTGTATGTCAAACTATGGTAAACATGAAAATATGGTAATTTATGGCTACATACATTATCAGTTGCTTTTCTCTAATTCTATTCATTTTGGTTTATGCTGGAGGCTTATTCACTTTTTTTATTTACTTTTATTTGACTAATAAACAAACAAAAACAGCAAATGAATTGACAATAAGTGCTGTGTTTCTCTGCTCTGGCCCGAAACCCCTCTCAACAATATGTGTTAAAAGGAATAAGAACAATATAAAGTATGTCACACTTGGCTATATAACCTCCAACAAGCAAATGCTGATAGCTACCTGTCTGGCTGACAGATTGGGGGAGTTTTAACTTTGAGCATCAGGTCAACTATGAACCAGCAGACTGAGAGAAGGATGCAGTTGAGCTCCAGCTGTTTGGTTTCAAGACAGCCAACAGCAGATGGGGCCTTACAGTCGAGGGAGCAAGTTCTAGTCCAGCTGGATCACTGGGAAAATAAGTTGTTTTTTATTTTACATCTTAAACATCAAAATGATTGATGGTGCTTGCTTTTTCCTCACATGCATCTGGGCCATCAGTGTTTCCTCAGTTTTTATTTAAATTAATGATGAAGTGATTTTTATCACAAGTGCAGTTTGCTTGTTTTAGAAGTCTGGGGTGAAGTCAGGTAATTTGGGACGCTTTTTGATAGATTAGCAAGTAAACCACCTAAAATCCTAAGACTACCTTCAGTGTTCAAGGACAACAAGGCTGAAGTAAAAGTATTAATTGTAGTTAAAATATAGTCAGCACTGCATGATGTCCAGCTTAGTGGACATATGATTAATTGTAATTCCTCCTAACATCAAATCTATACATGGAAAATAAACAACTTTATTACTTCTTAGATGGTGCCTGATGTTACCAAATTTTATTTACCTGCAAGGGTCTTCGATTTAGTAATGGTGATAAATTCCTAAGCAGCACATATCTTGCATTTCGTCAGCCATCATGGTTTTGAGAGATTTATATTGCACTTACAACACCTGGCCAGGGGGTGGCAGTGTATGACATGACGCCCCAGGGTCAACTGTAGTGGTTTATATGCAATTATAGCATCAAAACCCATGCATATATAAACAAATGGCTTTTAAGTAGCTGTCCACTGTAGTGACCACTATGCATGAAAGGGTTAAAGATCCCAAGATGTAAAACCTTATTTGTCTCATTTTACCTGTCTCAAAATTGCCTGACTTTAATAGAGATATCAAACCCATTCCTTTCTTCTTTAATCTTATAATCATGTTGACAACAAAAACATAAAATGTTTATGATATAATATGTTATAACTGTTTAAATTAGAAGATTATATCTATCAAAATATCGATGTATCTATCCTGCTCTGACTTTGGAGGTCACGTGGTATACTGTCTGGCATTTCTATTGGCCAATTCATATTAAACGAGTTCCGGTCGTTTTTAAGCCCTTAATACGGAAGTTAGTTCTACCAAATGACACGGTTTCTCAGTTATTATCGGCATTTTTAAACAATATGCGTGGTCGTTATTAATATTTCATATTTTTAAACAAGACTACATAGTATATAGCGTATTTCAAAGTTGTGCAAATGTTTGTTTACAAGCGTTGCTGGCTTTTCCGCGGAGGGATCTATACACAGCCGCTGCCTCTGGCGTGGAGCGTAATTTGAATCGCTCATTGCTCTCTTTATGTTGTCTGTATTTTTTAGTAACATGTTTTAGATCTTATCGGGATCTTTATGTCACAAGAGTCTATACGTATGTTTTAATATATATTTTAACGGGAGGCACGCCCTATTATTTATCTTAAATATATAAGGTAAGTGTTTACTCGTTGTCACTACATTAACTATAATGCCACTGTTGCTACTGTTAGCTAACGCCCGTGTGAAGGTTAGCTCGTGACAAACTAGCCTTTAACAACAACTAGCGTTAATGTTAGTGTTATTTTTTCGAGTTAGTTGGCAATAACGACGTTTTGTCCTTTGCAGAAGTCTACTATAGTGAGTGGCTCAGCTGTTGTTGAGCCGAGCCATTCATTATCAATTCCATAAGCACATTTATTATGAAGCCCATGTCCAACGTTAACTTAGTGTTAAACGTGTTACCGGGGTAATTAGCTAACTATATTAGCATCCTGCTAAAGTCAGGGGAACATCAACATTTTGCAGCGTTGTGGAGTTTGACATGAGGTTGTGTTCATGATGTTGAAGTTATATTATTACAACCTTTCATGGCCTGCAAGCATGAGCCTGATGGGAACAAAATATTAAGGAAATACAGGTGACTAAACGTTACAAACCACCTGTTGGCTTCCATCTTAAGTTTCCCCAATTAATTTCTGTTGACATGCTTTCTGTTCTTGTGGTTCAGCTGCTCTTGAATTATAGGATGTGTTCAAATTGTCTAATACAGATGGCTACCGTGAAGATGAACACTGCTAACACTGAGGCAGACCAGGAGGGGGGAAACTTGTCCCCATCAGAAGAGGCCTCCTCTTCTGTTTTAAATGACACCTCAGCCCCCCTGAATTTCTCCGAGCTCACACCTTTTCAGTTTGGCATCTCTGTCCGGAGTTTTACTCCAGCACCATTATCAAGCCACAAAGGTAAGAGGACTGTTTTTTACTTGACGCTGAACTGCTGTTGCATTTACAGTGCCTATAATAGACAGAAGTGTTTGCTTTATATTCATCTGGCTGCACTCAGCCACCACTGGTAGAGACCTTGAGAAAAGCTGTATGTACAGTATACTGTAGGTTTTATCATATAATCTGTAATGTCAGAAAAAATAACCACATAGAAGGAAACATGCGTGTTAAAGCTTACTACAGTCGTATGTGCGTGACCAAAACAGTAACAGATGCACCCGTCAACACTGCTGATGCACTAATAAATGAGAGACAACAAACATCAGGTGGATGTTTGTATTTCCCATACATGTTACCACCACTCAAGTTTTACTGAAGTGGCATTCTTCTCCCTCTCTTTCTAGATAAGTCTCGCCTAGCACAAATAAAGGCAAGGCGGAGGTCCAACATTGGTGTCCGGGGCTCCCCAGAAACAAACTCCCTCATCCGCTTCATAGCACAACAGAGGATGAAGACTCCACCAACCCCCAAAACTCCAGAGGTGAGATGCTTCTCTGGATACAGTTGAGCAAATCTTGCTCCCCTGTCACATCATATTGTAGTGTGAGGCAGTGTTCAGAGTACACTCCGGCTTTTGGTTTTCTCTCTGTGATTATAATTGAAAATTACATAATATTACTGATATTACATGTGACTATGCAGCATACTTTCTGTGCTGTTTTTCTTAATCAGGCATACAAGGACTGTCAATACCACAACTAGCCCATATAGAGTTGTACATACATGGGAGTGTTGCGCATCTACAGAACAAAGTCGCATAGTGTATGTGCACTCCGATACACATCTTGCTCTTTCCAATTCACTCCAGCTTTAAAGGATGATAACAGAAGAGTTGCGATCAGATTACCCCATTAGATCTGGCATCAAATTCCCACACATTGATATCGCAATCGTACACAGTGAGGCGTTGCGATTTTTTTAAAGCCTATTTAACTTAACAATTATGAATTGAATATTAACTGTGACTTGCACCCTTTGTATCATCGTTTACAAACATGATAATCAAAATGTGTAGCTATCAATATAACAACTATACAAAGTATTTTCTGATGTTAAGTATAGCAAAGATTTTGATGGCTGCACAAAGCTGCACTTTTTCCTGTATGGCATGTAAAAATTTGAACAGTACAAAGTTAAACCTTACTGTAGGTGGGAGATGAGGATTTATGTTTACACCTGTACAGTTTGTACTGTAATTTGTTGGGCAACTATGTCAATGTGATACAGAAAAGAAAAAGACAAGATTGTTTTACAGTACTGCGTAGTACAAAGGGGAAAAAAAATACAAAATTGGAAATTTAAGCATTGGAAACACCCTTTAGGTAGAACTGTATATGCACCACTGTATGAGTTAGTACAGTACAGTCTTTCTACACCTGATGTTCCTATTCTGTCTTTCTATCTGAATACAATTTAATAGTAAGTATTCCAAAGAAATATGAACTGCTTTCAAGAAAGCTGGGTCCTCCCTAGCTTCTCTGTACTTAAAATACCAGTCCAAATATAATGACTCTGCAAAACAAGCCTTGACAAGATCAATGTGGAGAGAAAGGTCAAACCATCTGAAAGTGTAATAATGCATAAACTCTTGCTTCTTCTGCCATGTTACACTCACAAGTCAGTCTTTAGACGCTTTGCTTAACTAAAGACTGATGACTTTCTCCTTGATTTTGTGTTTAGATGGGCGGATACAATTTCAGAGTTTAAAAAAACTCTCTACGTTGCAGAACCAATAGTAAATCCGCAGGGCGGTCCTTCGGTGGCTCGCTGAACTCTTGTGCTCGTAAACATAGTTCGACTAGAAACATATGTAGCGGTACAAAATGGCTTAAGTCGCTGTAAGTCCTTCATTTCCACAATCTTGTGGACTGAGCATATGTTTGATAAAACGGAGTTAAATCTCTCTGCATCCATTTTCAGGCTCTCTGTGTGTTTGTTTCCTTGCGGACGAGAAAAGGGGGAAGCACACATTTCTGGGAGGGTGTGTCCTTTTCAAAAATTCAAGAGGCATTGCTTTGTTGCTGGGCATTTTCGCCGGTGTGTTAAACTTTAGAAAGGAGTGTCCCCAGACTATCAGAAGCCGGAGATCTCTCATTGTCTGGTGGCGAGACTACTGCCATGTTGAATACTTTTTACTACTACTATTAAAAATAAAAGCCCATAGAGAACTCATTAAAATGAAACCCAATATTTCATTATCAAAGGGATACACCATGTAGCCCTGAGAGGTTAATATTAAAAGTTTTTGGTTTTCCTTTTAACAGAGAACATGTTGCTCTCACCGTACTCTCAGCAGTAACTTCTCACATCACTTCTGCACAGTCATCCACATTTAGACTGTCCATCCTTATTTTCAGTATGTTCTAAACCAAAATATAACAGTTTGTGTTTAAAGCATCTTTTAGCTGGACTAACAAGAGACAACCTCCAAGTCTAACTTGGTTCATGTCTTCTGATGCTGCTACAGGTTTTCTTAACATCACTATGCTTTTTCTGTTATAATTAGCTAAGAAACACACAGTGTTTTTTTAATTCTTAATAATTATTTAATCTGAAATGTATAGGACAAAATTATTTAGGATTAAGCCTTTAAATACACAGCTTCCATCAGGTTTCTTTCCTTGCTCACTCATTGCTTAAGATAACATGTTTCTGACCAATGAGGTACAGGAGGTGGGAACTAAAAAGCTTACGCCAATGCTAAGAGTCTGCTCATTAGCACAAATGGCTTCAGTGTGAAAGGTTCAAATGAGAGCTGTGCATCCAGCCATGCTTTGGCAAACTGTGCATGTTTGGAACACAGTGAGCATGTAATGTAGAGAGGAGAAGTGCATCATGCTGCAGAAGTGGTTTAACAAGTTTCTACAGACTTTTGGTGCGTTTTTCCACCAGGAAAATGACCAATGCTCAAGTCTGCAGGTGGTGAGTCTGTTATTAAAGGGGTCAATTTTGGGTCAAATTTTTAGTCAAAGAAAAGTACTCTTTTATTTTTGTGTGAATACTAGTTACAGAATATTCTAAAGCATGAAACTTAGTGTGACTTCACTGTTTGATGATGCAGAGCTCAGTAAACTTGAAAAGTAATATTCCTGGAAGGAGTGTGTGATAAATGTGCTGCCTCTCAGTAATACCACTTCTGTAATTTCAGAAGTCTATTACCTGTCAAACTGCATCACTGAGCAGATATGTTTGTTTTTGCTGTCTCAACTCTCAGCTTGTCAGAAGTAGCCCCTTCCTTCCCCGGGTCGCCTCCACGCTGAGGCAGAAGATGGCCTCCTTCCAGAGCCTGATGGATGTGGAAGAAAGTGGGGTCTGTGATCCGATGCCAAGGCAGGACAGCAACACTGGAGGATGCATCAAGACAAGAGATTATCTGTCTGGTGAGGCTGCCTCATTGCCACAGGATTAATAGTTTCATTTCTCAACAAGGATCTATGCCAGTAGGATTTCTTTATGATGTCTGGAGGCACTGTTCAAAAGCAGTGGATTAATGCATAGCACAATATAAGCCTGACTCTGACAATCTAACAGCAGTCATTTCTCATGAGCTTGGTCAGCTTCTTAAATGGGCCAAACTAAGCTGTTTGTTGCTGAATTGAGACTTTATCTCCATTTCTTTGATCAAGTTTTTTTCATAGTTTTTTTTTTAAATTGCATTTTTTATGATACGTTTATCTGATATGTGATATTTTATCTTTATTTAACTGGGGTGTCCCAAAGTCCCATTTGTTTATGTATTATTATATAACACATCTTTTCGATGGTTGTTTTTTTTTTTTTCCTCCTTTTTTTCCCCTCCCCTCTCAGATGGAAACAGCCCTTTCGAAGGGAAAGAGAACCACCCACCAATGATTACGCCTGTACCCAGCAAGAGGAGGCGCCTGGGCCCCCCAGAAGGCTGTAAGGTGGAGATTAGAGAGGCCGACACTCCTATCCTCCACTTGAGTTTGAAGGAGCAGCAGGTACTCTCACTCTGACCATGTACTTACTTGGCTGCTTTAAATAATTTAACTAAAAGGTTTTCCCTCTCTGTACTCGGATCCGCTGATTATTTTTAACTCCTCTATGAATGGAAGATCTCAGTGCTACACAGGACTTTTTAAATAGGTACATGCATCCACAAAGAGGAAAAAACAAGAACTCTCAAGCAAACAAAGTTTGATTTTAGTGCCGGGTATTGAGGTTTATTTATTTATCGTTGCATCTTTTTTTTTTTTTTTTTTTTTTTGTGAGCATCCACTTGTATCCTGCAAAGTGCAATGTCATGTTTTAAGTTTTCTGTGTTGTTCTAGGCACTAAAACAACAGCTTGGTAAATTTGTATTTCCAGTATCCACATTAGAAGTGTTCCTGCTATTGTGGAGCTGTGCCATAGAATGAAACAGTGGGAATTTTCTAACCATATTCACAGGAGGAAGAAGAGCCAGTGACGCAGGTTGTAACAGGACCATTGCCATCCAGTGAGACTGTGGAAGAGGACCAAGCTGTGCTTATATCCCCAACCTTTCACACTGACTTTGAGATCCAAGCCTCTTCCCCTGCTAAGACCCAACAGGTTAGGCCGAAATCCAGACTGCAACACACACGTTTGCAGTGCACACAAGGAGTGCAGTTACGAGTAAATCATGGAGAAACTAATGTAGACTTTTGTGATTCTGCTATGAAAGAAGTGCATTCCCCCTGTGAGAATTCCTTTTGAGTAACAGAATGACTTAACCATTATTCACATGGGAAAAAAACATCAAAAACACAGCTAAAACCAGTGAGGAGCTGTTGTGTAATTGACTGCACAGCCAGAGTCACGAAGAATTCAGGCTTTCTTTAAAACTGCCAAAGGGAAGTGACATGAGGTGATATCGCTAACTAACCAAGCACACAATTTCCTGAATGAAACATGTAATAGCCTTTGCCCACAGGCTCAGTACAGCACACTTACATTGCAACAAGCAGTAATCATATGCTTCTCAGCTGCAGCCACACAGCAGGTGATAACAAGGCCGACCCATTGTGACTGACGATTTCCTCCCTCAGCCAAGTGCTGTCATGCCCTTAAGTTATCAACATGTCTGGTCATGCAGGCAACAAGAGAGAAAACACTATTTTTAGAAATGTCACTATCGCCCCTTTTATACTGCCTCGTCATGGCGAGAATGTCGTGCCGTTGTTCTGCCTTCTGTGTACAATGTGTGATTGCAGATAGGGATGTCCTGATCCCATCTCAAAGATCAGAACGGCGGCCAATCAAGGAATTTTTTTAACTGATCAGGATTGGGTATATTAAGCTGTATTGAGGATCTGATCTTTTGTTTAACATCAGCTGTCACACTGGTGTTTTACTTGCAAAACCTTCACGCAGATACAGGTAGAATGCAGCCATCTCCAACTCTGCTCTCTTTTTCTCCTCTACTCAGTTGAGCTCCCCTGTGTGAGAGCAGGGGCTGAACCCCACCCACAGTAAAACACAATACGCCATAAATTACAGTAAAATGCAGAATGAGAGTGTTTATTTATGTTTTCATCAAAATTATGAGCACTCGGTTCATTTCAGCACAGTGTGAAAGACTCATGCATTTATGGCACATGGTGTTTCACCAGGGGTGAGGAGAGACAGACAGAGGTGCAGAAATGACAATAACTGCACTCACCATGTCGCTGAAAAGTGCAACAAAAGCCCCGGGAGCAAAAAGCCAACAAGAGTAATTCATTAATATAGCCTTATCTGTGCCAAAGATGTACAGATGAAGAAAAAAAAACACTCAGTGGAATACAGTTCATTCAGTAACAAAGGCAAAGGCTGCATCAAGGCAACAAACACGGGATAACTGTCTGTTAAGACACAGAGAAATTCCCTCAAGACAGCAACAAGGCCAAATAGATTAAAGGGGGGTTTGTTATTTTATACCTATTTGTTTATTTTGTAAATAAATAAAAATCACGAGATAGCTTGGATGCAGGGATTTTTTTCTAATGCATTGTAGAGCTTTTCAGTTGCGAAGCATATGTAGTGAATTGCTTTTAATAACTTTAATGTACTTGAGGTGCTCACTGTGCAGTTGTATTATCTAAGAAAATGGAAGTAGTGATCGGGACCCGGCATCGGTACATACTCAATATTGAATGACTTGGATTGGATATCGGGGGCAAAAAAAAAACCTCAATCGGAACATCCCTGATTTTGGAACGGGGGGAGCTGTCTCGTCTTTAAGTCGGCAGTGGACCTAGTAACAGTGCCGAATTATCGTCTGTGTAAAAAGGACAGCTGTCCGGACGGGATGGGTGTGACGATTTGGCAACTAATGCTGACTGAGCATTTCCTTTTTGTCTTAGCTAGCAGCAATAAGAAATGCAGTTTTTGTCACTTACTTCACTGCTGACAGCTGTTGGTTAAAACAGCTGGTTTACACAACAAGGTTTGGATTTTCCCCTTTTTTTTGTAAGTGGATCAGTTTAAAATGTTATAGAAGAGAAAATCTACATTGAACTGATTAGATGAATTAGTTATGATGATGTAATACTCAGCATTAGATTTTGTACACAAACCATTCTCTTGTACAACACCCTGTTCTGTGAAGCTCCTTCAACTGTAGTCCAACAGAATGGGGGGCTCATTTATTCTCTCTCAACAGGACAGTGTCTTTGAACACCAAAGCCTTGGCCAACCACCACCTGATGATCCTGCAGCCGCCTCACCAGCTCAGCCTGCCTCCCCCTTCTGCGTCCCCTCTTTCCCTTCTCTGTTGGAGATGAAGCCCATGGGTAAACACACAGTTCTCTCAGTGGCCATGCAAGAGTAACCAGCCTTTTATCTCGGTTCAGCCCTGCCTTTGAGGCTTGATATGTAGAGTTAAGCTTGATGCAGTGTATCCAGGCTGTAGGAGAGTGTCAGAGTTGTATTATCAGAGAGGAAATTCATGTTAATTAACAGGAGTTTTCTGTGTTGGAGGATACCATGGGAGATTTAGCTACAAGGGGAGTGTCTGCGTTCTTATGAAATGCCAATGTTGGCATCAAATAGCTCGACATGGGATGAATGTGCAACAGTTGTGCAATGTAGGGATCAGTACCCATCACTCACCTGAGTGAAGACCTGTGCTTTGATTAGCAAATTCAGTTGTCCTGATGTTGATAGCACAGACATGACTTTAACCTGATGAAAACCTTTTTTTCTAGTTGTGTGAAAACTACAATTAATCGGAACAATATTTATGGTATATTATTGTCTTAATGGAATACTTGCTGGGGCAGAGTCACACACACAGTGACAGGGCTAACTAACTAACTTGCTAACTGTTAACATCACACAGCTAACGTTACCCCAGAGTTATTAATGGGTTTAGTGACAGGCCTTTTTGGTGTCGGTGTGAGTTTTTGGGGGGCTGTTTAACAGCTCTGTCGGATGTTGCAATATGCATTGCAGTTTTTTAGAAAAGCGGCTGTGATATCAGGCATTTCAGGCTGTAACAATCCCAAAAAAGAGCCTGTAAAATCCTGAAATGACTGATTATTGTGTGACTGTAGTGAATCCTAACCAACCCTTCAAAACTAACTGATAGAGGCAGAGTTTGTAAACGGGTGCTTTGATATAGTTTTGCCGTTAACTGTGAACCCATATGACTGTAATTCATCAAGATTTTTTTTCAGTTTTTGAAATCTTCAATCACCAGAGGCATGCAAGGGAAACAAACTTTTTTTTCCCCAAATTTTTACATAACGCAGGATGAGTAATTGAAATACAAATGGTCATCTGGAGGGTTACTTTGAGTTTAGTTCTAGTATGTCATAATATATCTTCTAATAGATTAATTATAGTTTTTAGCTTCAACTACTATTTTCTGGTCTGGCTTGACAATATCTGAAAACTTTAAATTTATGTTGACTCAACTTGCAAGCATTGTGTAATGACAGTAACAAAAGGTAATCAGCTTTTTTGTGCATTCATGGTTTTACTGTCTTTGCAGGAGAGGATGACTCCACCGGGACCTCCGCAGTTAAGAAGAAAAGGAGGGTGCACTTTGGAGGTCCACTCTCCCCTGAGTACTTTGATAAGAACCTGCCTCCCAGTACACCATTACAAAAGGGGGGCACGCCGGCTCGGGCACCCACACCAGGTGGGAGCTTACTGCCACGCTCAGCGCTGAAGACACCGCAGAGAAGTGAAGCCCAAACACCTCCAGCTCAGCCAGATCTCAGCAGCCCTGCTGTGTTTGGCGCCTCACCTACACTTGCAATGTCTCGCAATCGCAAACTGCAGGCTATAGGAGGGGACAGTGAAGAGAATGATGTTAAGGTAGACAACATGCCAGGATTGTTTTAAGATTTTAATGTTTATGTGATACTAGCATGGGATACTGTTCTGTACATGTCATTAAATATTAGTTACAACATTGAGGTTTACATTGAAAGAACCTGGATTATCCAGGTCACTCTCAGCTAAAAATATCCAAGCTATCACAAGCAACTAGGGCTTTCTTTTCAGTACTTTAAAGGGTCAGGGTATGCCCTGCTCTCTGGTCTAGATTATGCATGTTATAGTCAGCATGAACAACATTGTTTTTCTTTGTTTTGTGGTTCTAGATTGTTTTTCCTTCACTGGAGGAGATTGACTCTGGGGTGACAAGAGATACAGGTTGATTATTACAGTTTATTTTCCCTGAGAGTTGTATCTTATTGTCTCTAGAATGCAGTCAGACTCTGTACTATAACAATTCTTTCCTTTTTATTGCATTTTCAGAATTTACGTGGGACACCCGGCCATTGAATTTAAACATTGCTTTCCATGAGGAGTCTCTTTCTCAGATTGTGACAGGTGAACAACAGTCATACTTCTCCATTTTTTCCTTTCATTGACACTTAACTTTATGTCCTCATCTCTGCTGTTCTCCACCTGCTCCCCCATCTCCTGACACATTCAAGAGTCCCAGACTATAAGACCTAACAGAAATGAAATTCATGTTTGTTTTGTGTAGCTCAAACAACTCAGGTTTCTCATTTTAAGTCAGCTGAGGAAAGCAAGCCAATTGCCAGACTACAAGTGTAGGAAAGGGTAAATATCAGGGACTTTTAAACCCCTGATTGAAAATATCAGAGATGGTACAGGACCTTTTTCATATGGATTCAAACTCCTGTGAAAGATCTGTTTACTCTGTGGGTTACCATTTACCATGCTAACCCACAGAATCGATATTAATGTTACTTACAGCTGACAAAGTCTCAGCAGGTGTCAATTCAGCTATAATCCTGTCGATTTTCCTCAGAGTCTGAGACTGAACCCAGCACAACCTCCCAGATGGATGCCCTGGATGAGCCTACATCCTTGCCAGATAAGGAGATGCAACATGAAGCAGATGTGGAAACCTGCGCCAAATTGAGAAACCGAAGGAAAAAGGTCTGCCGCCGTTAGAGCTCCAGGCTTTTTTTTTTTTTTTTTTTTTAATCTTCTTTCTTGGAAAGGTCATTGTGGATTCACAAGATACATTTTTAGCAACACATAGCTCTGCATTTATTCAGTGACAGTCTGTTGAAGTCGCCTTTATTAAAATGAGGTCTAGGCAATATATTGATATTTTATTGATATCCTAATATGACACTACATATCATCTTAGATCGTGATAATGATAGTGATTTAATTTTCTGAACTTACCAGGCTGTTGCAGCTGTTTCTTGATTAGCCTTTACCCACCTAGTCATTAAAGCCACAGTAATGATGATGATTTATTGTGTAAATATTTTGTGAAAGCACCAATGGACAACCCTGCAATATGGTTGCAATATAAATATTGAGGTATTTGGTCAAAAATATTGTTGTATTTGATTTTCTCCATATCGTCCAGCCCTAATATTATCTTCTACAGAACCCCATATTGTGAAAATTCCATGTCAAACACTGAAAACTTCTAAATTTCTTCCAGCAGTCAGAGCCAGAGCAGACATTTACCAGTGAGACTCCAACTCGTTCCAGCAGTCATAAGAGAAAGGTCTGCTATTACCACAAACTGCTTTCAGCTTGATCTCACTTGTAAAAGTCTCCATTTACCAAATGAGATGCCTTTTTTTTAATAATTTAGGGGTCATAACATGCTCCTATTTAATCTACTGTTTAATTCCACTGGATCTGAGCTAAATCGCATCTGAGGATATCCACTTTGTGTGTGAGAGAGTGTGGCAGAGACGGTCTATATAATACATCCTCACGCCAACTCTGTGTTCCCCCAGCAGCCAGAGAGCGAACCTGTGAAGAGGTCGACACGCTCTGCTGCCAAGTCGGCCTCTGGGAAGATGAAGGTGAGTTGGCTGAGTCTGCTTGTTTGATTTCTCTTTACACCACTCCACTGAGGGATATGCAGGCCCGTCTTTCTGGGAGGCAGTCACGGAGCTGATAGCTGCACAATCTTACTACAACTTACTTTGCCTGAGTGGGGGAAAAGAACCGTGTTTAGTTGTTTATATGCCACAGTCAGTGTTGCTCCTACGTATGGCACACACCACAGATTAATAATGCTCACTACAGGATTATAAATAATATGAGTTTCATTATAAAATCTTAAATACATTCATAAAGTTATACCAAGTTGTGCATGAGCGGAGAACCTGCACTGCTGTCACAGATAATAGTAAAAAGCAGTTTGGCAAGGCTGGAAGGTGTTTTTAAATGCTTTATCAAGTCTCATTCAGCCATGTTAAAGGACAAGAAGGGCAGTATTCTATATTTATGGTATTGTCAACTAATCCATCAAAAGACCAAAACCAGAAATGTTTGTCTGTCTTATAATACTTGCTCACTGACAGCTGACCGGTGTGTCAGCCTTATCAGAAAAATGCACACAGTATTTCTTAATACATACATTCATTGTTGATTTCAGTGTTTTCAGAGTGTTTTTAACAAAAATTAACTATGGAATATCACCAGACTTTTAGCACATTCAGACCAAATTAATAAATGTGATAATCCAGACCAGTACAGTAAATGAGAGTCACAGGAGCTGTGCTTCTCACTAAAGACATGCATCATTCTGGATGGAAGTTTATCTCGTAGAAAAGTACAGCAGATAGTTTGTAGTTGACAGTATGCATCAAATAAGTCATTTGAAGGCAGTCTGCTTTCCCAGTCTGGATAGCAGTAGCTGTCCTTATTGTAGCTCACAATACAACTGCCCATTTATTGAGCTTGCAGTGTCTCAGTGTTCTCACAGCTTTGTAGTTGTTTTTTGTTTGTTTGTTTGTTTGTTTGTTTGTTTGTACACACACTCAGGCCTGTGTTTTGGTCTAAATGGGTTCCTATTCCAGTTCTGCCATCTCACTCCGCAGAATGTGGGCAGAGCTGATGAGATTTGATGAAAGCAGTGTGTAAATACTCTGAGATTAACTATAAGCCACAAGGTATCACTCAGAAAGGGCCCTAGTAACCAAATGGGAATTAATAGCCTCTCAAAATTAAAATGGCACATCTCTCAGTGAGCTAATTTTGATACATAATAAATTTGAACACAATAACACTGTAAGGGAAGAGACGTGACACACATTTGCCTCATTAACAATGTAAATAGCACTGTAAAATCTACCTAGCTTCTGTAGAGAAGTAAATGAGTGAGTCAGCGAGGGGTGGGGGTGATGTGATACAACAATGACAGAGTTACGGCTGACTCATATAAACAGGTCCAGCGCGGGCTGAACTGGCATCGGCAAGATTGAGTTATAAATGTTTGGTGTATGACATGTCTCTATCGTTACTGCGCTGCATTTTACAAAGTATAATAAACTCCTGCTGCATCCAGGCACCTCCTCTTCCTCCCCTTGCAGTTCTCGTACTCTTACGCCTGAGGTTGCATCCAGTAACGACTATTAGCCCACTAACAGCAGAACATTACCAGCAGAAACACTGAGTGTTTTTGCATCATCAGTGCATACATTGGACACACAGCTCTACTCACTCACAGCAGCACAGCAGCTCCGGTCTGGCTGTCAATTCTGTCTGTCACAGCAGCCTTTAGTGTTGGTAGGCTTTTACTCCTGACATGGAACCAATCAGATTTTGCTATGGGAAGGGCATTAAGGAAAGCTACAGACTGACTGCAGACAGACTGGTGGCTGCATCAGAGTCAAAGTAGCACATTTATTTAATCAACTATTAGATTTTAAATTGTAAAACTAGAAGAAGAAAAAAACAGAAAGTCATGACGTTGTAACTAATGTCGACATTGTGTTGGGCCGCCACAGTTAAAAGTTTTATGGGAAACACTACACTGAGGCAATATCAAATTTCAGTTGGCACTGATGTCTCATTACAAACCTTTCTAACAGTACTGGTTGTCTTTCCACAGACAACCTCTATGGCAACACGGCGGTGGAACAGGGAGGTGGACCGCTCCCTGTACGGCTCAAGGGCATATGCCTCAAAGAACCCTGCCCTGAGTCCCATCAGGGAGAGGTTGTCTCTTATCAACCAGTCTCCAGCAGCACAGCAGATCCCCTCTACATGCTGCACAGGTAAAACATACATGCAATAACTTTATCTTTATAGCAGGTGATATTTTATTATGCATTTTCTTCTATGTTGTTTTAGGAAAATATATTGTAATTCCTGTATTTTCCTTTCTTCCATATACATATTTCCATTATGTATGACCTCTTCAAAACCTGCAGTTGTCAGATGCTAAATATATTTTTGATTCCCGAAAAGTTAGAACTTGTGGAGGGCAGCGGTGATCGGAAATTAATACCCATAATGTTGTTTTGTCCTCATGTCTCCCAACAGCCCCAAATGATGAGACCCACTTGCACCGTGAGATGGCTAACGACACTCAAGCGATCGGTGACCTCACTATGACAAATGGCCCGGAAAATTCTTCCGAAGATTCCGTCACATCTCCAAACTCCAGTGAAGATGGCATCACAGGGAAGGGCAGGAGGGCTTCAGGCCCCAGGGTCAGGGAGAGAGGACTGAAGAAAAGGAAGGTTAGTGTTCCAGATGATAACTGGCTTAGTGAGGAGAATCTGGACCAGACTGGAGAAAAGACACAGGAATACTGTGAAGACCAAACCACTACAAACCTTGAGGCATCAGGGGAAACCCCACTAAACCACACTGTGCTCGAACAAGAAGTCAACACGGGACATACTGCCCAGACTTCTCCAGATATACACTGCACAGACTCAGATGGAAAATTAGAATGTCATGGTAGTCTGGAGGCACCCATTTCAGACTGTCCACCTGCAGCTGAAAAATCCAACACTTTGAGTCTGCCAGCAGAGCCATCACAGAGGAAAGCCAAGCGGGGCAGGAGGAGCTCTGCAATCAGCTCATTGCTACAAGAGCAGGGGAACCAGGCAGAGGAGCACCCAAAGAGCCATGAAGTGGAGAAGGGACAGGGAGACCAAGCAGCTTGCCAGCAGGAAAACATCAGGTCAAGCTCTGATAGTCAGGAGGAGGAAGGAGCTGAGTTCGCCCCCTGGCAGGCTGACTTTAATTTTGAGGATGTGTTCAAACCTGTCGCCACTAGAGGGCAGCGCTCAGTACGCCGCAGCCTGAGGAACCAAAGCAATGCAGAGCACAGCAGCAACAGTGCAGGTCTCGCCTGGCTGCCTCGGACCTCCCCTGACTCCAGTAAAGAGGCCCGCAGGAGGACGCGGGGCCGACGGCTCAGTGCTGCTCAGCCTGTCCAACCTCCACTCCCTGAGGATACACAAGACAGCGCTTTGTAAGACTTTCAATCGACAACATGAACTGAGATTAAAGGGAGGGATAACTAATTCATTCATCACACCTTCACACACACACGTACCCTGTTTTCTTGGGATTAAATGGAATGATTTTCCAAAGAACAGGCTGATTGTTTTATATTAGCGAAAACACTGATGCTTTTGTTCCCTGTGAATTATTAGAGCTGACCAGTAATTTGTAATTTGCCTGTTTCCCCTCTGCTAACCAAGCCGGTCAATACGCTGTGAGCCCAATCATCTCTGCTGACCACGTCCCAATCAATATCCAACCACTCAGCTGGTAATCACACAGCATCTTCAGACTCACTCTCCAAAATCATTGGATTGAGCATCTCCAAGTCAATATCTACTCTTTGTGGATAGATGAAGATGGCTGTACTGCGTTCACCTTCTGTCACGCAAGGCTGGGCAGGAGGAGGGGGTAATAATAATGGAATAGTAATGGGGAGAGAAAATGTGCCTCACACACAGAAATCTAATTAATAGGCTTGAACATTTCTGTTTATTTGTGGTCGCTGGAGTGTTGTGTTTTTTTGTTTTTTTTCTCCCAGTGATCCAAACTGTACATACAGGAGGTTCCCAACTTGTTGCAGTATCTGAGCTTTAAATAGATGATTTTGATATACTGTTAATAATTATTAGTAATAGCCTGTTGGATTGAAATGGTCTTAAACATTGCACCAAATCAAAAATGTGGTAGTGTTTTCAGTGAGTTTCCTGGAATGTCAGATGTACCTTTCTTGACTCTGATTCTGATTAAATGCTTTGGTTGCAAGTAAAGACACCTCATTAGACCAAATTGTGTTCATTTGAACGGATGATTTATACTCATTTGGAAGGGAATTCATCCAGGTAATAAAAAAGCCACTATCTCCACAGATGTGGTGATCCAGCTGTGTGGTCCGCTCAGCTCAAGAACAGCAGCTTCCCATTCACATAAACCAGGACCTAGCGCTATAACCGAATGCACGGCTACATAAATTACCATTCTGATCTACATTTTGAACACAGCCAAATGTCTGGAAGTAAATTGACCTCTAACCTCAGATTCCACCAGTCACAGATTCAAATCATTTCGTCTGTACCAGCTCCATCCATCTGTCAGAGGAACGGAGAGAGCAGTAACAAATTGAGTTTCAAATTCAGTTCACATAGGAAAATTGGCTCCCAGAATGATGCATGGCTGTAATCTATCCATCACGGGGTAATTGACTCGCTCCTTTTACATCAAGTCAGAGTCACTTGGCTGAAGGACACCAGAGGTTTCTGGCTCCCAGTGTGTGCCAAGGTCTATTCTGTATCCCCACTGGAAGACTGATGGACAGAGTCATATAGACACTAATATAGTTCTGGCTTGACACAGCGGGGCGACTGTGCCATCTGGTGGCACACCTAAGGAACTGCAGTCACTCAGCTGTGAAGTTGATCAAGTACGAGGAGATGAAAGTTTCAGGAATGAATGTTATTGTCGGGAGTGAATATAATTTAGTAGATGCACATTCATTTGTGTCAAAGGGGCTTTTGTTGGGTGCTGCTGCTGAACAGGAATCACTTCAGGCGTGCCTGTATTTACTGTTTGTTTTGTTTTTTAATAGCGTCATGTGCCCATGTAATGACTGTGTCTTGTTCGCGGTCTGATTTTTAAACTTGTAACTGGAAGTCTTTGTGACCTGGCTGTTTTATTGTGTGAGCGTACAGCCAAACTGCTGCACCACTATACAAGTGGGTGTGGGGTGTGTTTTCAGTGTCTGAGAGAAAGCGGGAGTGAGTGTGTGTGTGTGTGTGTGAGAGTGAGTGAGTGAGTGAGAGAGAGAGAGAGAGAGAGAGAGAGAGAGAGAGAGAGAGAGAGAGAGAGAGGTGTGAAGCCGAAGCCCCTGTCCCTGGCAGACGGGCATAGTGAAGACGGCTTAACACAAGAACAATGGGGTCCTTTGACCAAAACGACGCCCCCAAGACATGTGGCCTCCTGTCACCGTGGCAACCCCCCATGGGACAGGGAGCGGGCTGACAGCTGGAGAGGAGGACTTACAAAAATGGAGTCCATTTCTTTCCACTGAAGCTCCCCTGCTCTATATCTTTTCCCTCTTCTCCCTGTCTGCCTCTGCTCAGGGCCCTTATGAATGTGGGTTACATCTCATTTTACAGCTTCATGTGATTGACCTTATGGGACTGACTCACCACCTACAGCCCATCTAACTCCTCCGCACAAAAAAAAGAGTTAAAGAGAACAATAAATCAAGTCTTTATAGGCTCTTGTTGCTGTCCGTAATAAGAGAGCATTGATCTCATTGACAAATATGGGGCTGAGCCATAAGATTTCACACTCACTGTAAACTTGATTTTACGGCTCATTTTAAAACGGATGAGCACTTTCTGTACGGACACAAAGAGGCATAATCACTTATTTGTACTTCCAGATTTAGAGACTTTTGTCTTTCAATTAGTTAATTAGTAGCTGAATGGTATTAAGTTGTCCCACCGCCTCGGTCCTTTCTGTGCTCGATGCTGTGAGCCCTCTATTATTGATGCTCAGAGGCGCGCTCTCTAAGCCTTGCACAGCTCTCCTATGGTGCTAAAGACAGCAGGAGGAGGGCAACAAACAAAGGCAGGACAACAACAAGAGACCCTCTAGCTACTCTCAGTTTGGTTTTCTGTCCCAGTGTGTGTGCAAGCTACAGCTACAGCTGTGGCTGGCTCAGACCTGCTCCCAGCAGCTGCCTCTGCATGGAGCACGCAGACAAGGTGTACAACAGATTTGCTTCAGAGCTGTTTGGGGAAGAAATCTGACATTCATCATGTAGTATGCACTCGGCACATTTACACAGAGGTGTAAAGCAGTCATATTTGCCCTGTTCTTCTGAATTAATGAGATTATTATCTCAGAATTCTGAGAAAAGTTTTCTTTGGAAACAGTGCTCTTATTATTCTGAATTCTCAAGATAATATTGTAAATTGTTTTTCTGAGTCAGTGAGCTCATTATCGCATGGTTCTGGGAAAAATCATGAAGAAAATGTTTGCTCATGTTTTTTGGATTAAAAAGATAATTTTCTCAGAATACTGAAGAAAATCCTGCTGTTATTTAATGAAAAATGAATGAGGTGAGCTGAACTGATTAATGAGATTATCATCTCAGAATTATGAGGAAAGAGTTCATGGAGAAAAATCAATTTTTTTTAAATATTAATTAACATTATTATCATTGTCATTTGGAAAAATAAATTCCATGCTTTAGTTTTGGTACAAATAAACTGATCAAGATTGACAGTATCGGTGAGTTTTAATTATAACAAGCTCATGAACCATTTCCATCAAAAAGGATTCAACCTCACTGCAGCAGCTGGAGGGAATGTACAATATTTAAAAGTTGTTTTTTCAGTGAGAGGTTCTTTTTATTTTTTGATCAATCTCTATATAAATGTCAGCCTTTTTCTAAGTTGGCTTCATGGGCATTTCCATCGCCCTCCATTGCTGCAGACCTCCAATACAGTACACTCAGCATCTCTGCAAAGAGCTTTGAATAAATGCATATTGAAATGTTCTTTTAAAGCTTAATAAAATATCTGTATAGCATGGTCAGTATTTAACACTGATGCATTTACTGGTGGTGTCTATCCCTGCACTGTCAGTCTGTGTATCCTCAGGTAAAGGTTGCCTCAAATTTACCTGCACCAAGTGCAATACCTTTGATTCCTGTCACATTAAAGGGGAATTATATTTCTTCATTCTGGGTCAGATTGGGTGATATTTTCTTGAGAGCGTTCTCTATTGTCCTATACACAAGTGATCCTGGTGTGTAACCATCTTCAGGTGAGTTTATGTCTGAACGTGTAGTGGCTTTTATAACATGTTGCCACTGTCTCTAGGTTTCTGCTTTGTCTGTAAACACGTGCAGGGAGAGGCCAGAGGAGGAGAAAGGAGACAGCTAGCGTCCTGGTTGTGTCAGGAAGCAACAGATGTGTGGTAAACAGGACTTCTGTGACACAGGTGCGAACAACACTGTTGGTGTTCTGGCTAACAACACCACACATGAAAGAGGCATCCAATTATCTTAACCACAGTCTCCGTTGTTTATGAAAATGATGTGCATATGAATCATTGCAGCGTGATTCATTGGACGATGATATATTACACCTTTCAGGGCATATTAACAGTTTGAAAGGAGCACCTTCTTGCAGACCCGTCCATCAATAGGTGAATTATAGAAAATAAGATGAATGCATTAACATGTAGGCGCAATCACATGGTGTATTTGAACATACATGGAGTGTCCAAAATATACTGGTACTAGTAAAAGGAGTGAGGGCAAACAGTAGTGTCAGTATGAAGTGTAGCATGTTACACAGGACACAGAGAGCTGCCCACTGACATACCTGTACAAATCTCTAATCTGTCTGGGCATGTCTGAGCTGGAGTCACCTGTGACTGATACAATGTAGAAAAGAGTGTCTTCAGGTGAGGGAAAGTAGCGTCTGCTTGAACATGAACTGTACCAACATACAGTACTTAGCTGTACTAAGAAAATGTACAGAGATTTGATCACTGTCCGATTTCAGTGTTGTAGGAAACTTGGAATTTATGTAAAAGGTTTGGTGGTGTTAATCAGGGTGTCTGCAGATCTTTAAAAAGATTTAAAATGTCCTAACTTAGATATTAGATATATATAGATATTAGGCCTTAAAAGTCATTAAAATGTGAAGTCTTAATTGCCACAAATATTTCATCTCATTTCATTTATTTATCTTTTAATTTTTTTTGCAAAAATAAGAGTGTCAGACACTTCATTCCTTGCATTCTGGTGAATTTTTATGCACTCATTTGTGTATTTTTGGCACTGATTTACACTTTAAATGTCTTTAATTTTGTTAAAAGTCCCCTGCTACTTTCATGGATTTATGGGAGAGGTGCAAATGGACATGTTCTAAATACTGAGGGGTGTTCGTGTGACCTGCATCCCACCTGATGTCTACATCTATGACATGGCAGAATACTGAGAAAAACATTAAGTTGATGAAACCTTTGAAACATTTAACCCCCTGGTTGCATACACTGTTAAGAGAAGGAGCCATCTATTATCTAATTCTCATATTTACATTTCATAATTGCTTGTACATTTGGGTATAACTGGGTTTTACATTTCTGCAGAATTTGTATTTTGTATCAACAATTCTAAAATCTTTTAATTACCAAACTATTTGATATCATTAGAGACACTGAAACTGCTGAAAACATACTGGAAAGATGATATTTCTGCCTCATGTCAAGGATGTTCTGCTAAATTTGAATCTCTGTCCAAACTCATGTTTCCCCATGTTCATGAGTTTCCTCCCCATTCCGGAAACATGCCTTCCCTCTGGGCATGGACGTGAGCTATCTCTCTCTGTCTGCATCTTGTGTAACTGGACTGGTGACCTGTCCAGGGTGTTTCCCTCCCCTCTGCCTGTTACATGCTGGGAAAGGTTCCAGGCCCACTCCCTGCCTGTATGTAGTAGACACAGGAACTGGGGGGGTATAAAAAGAACAAAGCTCTACACTGTAGGCCTAAAACATAAATGCTCAATGATATCAAAAACTTGTCCATCTGGGACCCACTAGTGCTGGGCGGAGGAGTCAACTCAGCCAGCACATCATCAGTGGCGTCTCCAGAGGAAGGAGGTAGCCTGCCTTTGCAACTGGAAGACAAGAACTGTTGCTGTTTCTTGAAGAAATCCCTGAAGGGAAGCTCAATCTTTGACTCTGTGTTCAACTGTGTGAGCATCGAGCTGAAGGGCACTGAAGGCAGCTGCTACTAGTTCTACAAAAGGGCCTCAGAGATTTAGCTTAAGAAGAGCTATAAACTCAGCTCCAATACAGGAAAAGAAAGGATAGTATAAATAAATCAAATACTAATGATGAAAGTCATTTTTAGCCACGCTACAAGCTAAAAAATGGCAGTGCCTGCCTCAGTCCACACCAAAATATGTTAACAATTGTTGGATGGATTGCTATTAAACTTTGTAGAGACATTCATAGTCCTCAGAGGTGATCAACTGATGCCCTGATCTCACCCTGATCTAAAATAGTTGTTTCCAAATGCTCGAAATTGGTCTGTTTAGTTGTTAGGAATTAACATAATTCCATCCAGATGCCCTGGATGGGCATAATACTTGGCATAAGTTAGATCAGTGATATGCAACTGATGACCTGTGGGCCAAATCTGGCCCATGGTAGGGTGCAGGCCGGCCTACTGACCATCTTCTAATTCACAGTGAAAATATTTTTTTCTTTACAAATTGCACTTTAAGTGTAAATACAGTGCCAGAATACATAATCGCTGCTCCATAGTTGTACGCCTCCACAAATCAGTCAAGCTGTAGTTAAAGTTTACAGCCATGCCTGTCCTGTCTCCTCTGTTGCCATGACAGTTTGAAATACTTTAAAAAATGGAGAATGCAAAGATGCTGAAAATTTTCACACATACATCTTGAACCCAGCAGCACAGCAATCTATACGATCAGCACAGTTTCAAGGTGGACACCCAAGATTTGTGTCACCAATGCAGTATTTGACCAAATGTCTCCCCTTCTGTTCCTGAGATATGACGTTAAGTAATGGCCAGAAAAGTGTTTCTTGGGAAAAACTGTGATGTCACAGTGAAGTTTTGACCTTTGATCTTTGACCT